GGAAATCAAACCCACAGCCTAGGCATACTAGGAGGATGCTCTGGTTAGAGCATCCCAGCCAGGGCCAGAATCAAAGGATCTTTATGGAAGGTGGAGATGGGGAAGGAGCAATTTTCAGTTTTGCTGTTTGGAGGGGCGTCCAGGGTTCTCTGAGGAAAGATGGAACATAACTAGCCCTGTATTTGGGGACAATGAGGCTATGTGGAATTGGGACAGCTGGTCACTTTTCCTCTGATTCTCTGAGTCAGTTTGTCCTGATCTCCGCAACTCTCTTTTGGCTTTAGCCTGACTCATCTGTTTTCTTCCATCAACTAGTAGCCTGACTACCAGCCACTCTGGTATCCTGGCTCCTTAGGTCCTGGCTTAATAGTAGTTGCCCAATCTATTGATAGTCCTGCTGTGGCAGTAGAGGTGGAAGGGGAGGAGATGATGGGGACTAGGAAGACTTCCTTTCTTTTCCAGGCCTCAAGCCTTTAGTGCAGGCAGGCCTCTCTTATTGGGGTCAGGAGGAACCAGAGGAGGCACATGGGGGAAAATAAAAGGGTTGAGGTAAAAAGGCTAGAGAAAACGAACAGAAAGTTGGGGGCAGAGTGGGCGGCGGGAGACTCCCCAGGGAGCAGACTAGCCAAAGCCATTGTAGAGGAAAGGAGGGGAGGGAAGGTCCCGCCGGCTATGACAGCCTAGCCCAGCTGAGGTCCTTGGATTTCCTGTCCCCTCCCAGCTGCTCTTTCTTTCCAGGGCCTCTCCGTGTTAAAACGTGTGACCCCCCTCCTCTGTCAGGCTCTCAGCAGTAGTCCGGGGTCTCTTCAGCTGGAGCTTGGCTTTGGTCTATAGCTCAGCTCCCAGCCTGGCCTCTCAGTGGGCGGTGCTCCAGGCGCCCCGCCCCCGAGGAGGACTATTGGTGGAAAGGCGTCTAGGAGGCGGGGTCTAGCCAGCCTGCGAGAGCCGGATTAGTTGCGGCGACCTCGAGGCGGGCCGGAGGCGGGTCCGACCGGGAGGCGGGAGGGGCTGCTGGGGCCCGGCCCAGACCTCCCGGCGGTCGCATTGTTTTCCTCCGCGGACCCGCGGCGGGATTGGGGGCTGCGACTGGGCTTGCGGGACTGGACAGCGCCCGGGAACCCAGATTCAAGCTTCATCCAACTCGTCCGCTCATCACCCGTCGCCAGAGCCCAACCACGGATTGCGAAGTCGTCGCGGTGCGGGGCCGCTGCCCGCCCGCTGCCCTCTCGATCCCGCTAGCTCGGATCTCGGAGCAAGTACCCGGAGCTGGGGCAGGGCTGCAGGGAGGCGGGGAGGACTGGGCGCGGCAGGCTGGAGCCAAGATTCCTAAGTGCGAGGGGCCCGGGAGATGCCCGCGCGCGGAATGCCTGGCTGGCGGGGAGGGTCGATGGAGTTGGGGTGCGCCGAGGGGGCTGTAGCCGAGCGCGTCACTGTGCTGTAGGCGCGGGGTCTGGGCGCCTCTGCCGACCGAGCTTCTCCGAGTCTTGTCTCAGAGAAAGACTCAGGGGAGCGCGAAGATGGATGATTTGAGGCGCGCACTGTGCGGAGGGTGGAAAACCTGGTCCCTGCCGCCCCATCGGGGAAACTAAGGCTCCGAGACCCTCGTAAAACCTGATCCTTTTGATGCCCCTGCGAGGATGGGAAGGGGGGGCGCGTCGTTTCGGACTTTGGTGTCACGGCTGCACCTCTGTCCTTGGGCTTGCACCTCCCAAGGGGTTGGCTCCCGCACAGTGTCGGGGAATGGGGTCCTCAAGAAACATCAGTCCCAGAGTCCATTTCCTTCGAGCACCCCTCTCTGTCCGGGGCTTTGTTAGACCTAGGTCTCCCGAGGAGGAGAGACGAGCTGGCGACCCGGGTCGGCGCTGGCCCCGGACCCGCCCTCGTCGGTTCCCAGCCTCTGACCCTGTTTCCCTGGCCTCGGAGACCCGCCTCTGCCCCCCCTCCCCACATCCCCCCGCTTCCATCCCTACTTGGTCTGCGCTTGCAGGCCCCTCCAGCCCCTCCTCCCGCTAACGTGGCTCTGGGACCCGGTCCCGGCCCAGACTCTGCTACCCGCCCCTCTCGGAGCCTCGGATCCAGTGAGGGGGAGACACGTCGAGCCCCTGGCCCCGGGCCCACCCGATGCAAGGCTACAGACACCTGGACTATCCTTGTTGGGGGCTGGGTGGAAGGGAGGGTAAGTGTGAGCTGGGGGTTGAGAGCTAAAGGTGGGGGAAATGTCTTGGAGGTGCGAACGCGTCTGTTCCGAGCGGCTCCTCAGCGCGCCCCCCGCTCTCCCAGAGGAAGATGGACTGGGGCGGGCGACCAGCCGGAGGGCTTCCTGCTATTGTCCCCAGCCCCGTCGCCCCTTCTGCATCGCGTCCCCAGCCCCCGCTAGACTCTGGCTTTGACCTCCGCCACTCCCCAGAGGTGGCTTCGGAGCCAGGAGAGGAGAGAAAGGCTGTTTCCTCTTTCCAACAAGGGAAGGGGAGGGGGAGAAAAGGCGGGCAGGCCTCCCCCGTTTGTTTCAGAGCGGGTATGCAGCAGCTGGGATTGGTCCCAGCAGCATAACCCTGTCCCCAGGCTGCTCAGAAGCTGCTCCCCCAAAACAGCTAAGGAAAGCCCTCTTAAAGCTATATCATAGTTAAGTCTACTAGGGGCCCATGCAAAGGCCAACCAAGTGTTTTTAGAGGCTGGACCTAGGTGGGGGATGGGGTGGAAGGAGATTGGGTGAGAGGGAGGCAAGGCCTGCTCATTCAGGAAGAAGGGCCAGGGATGACTGATATCAACATTTTGCCTAGAAATGAAGAGCATGTAAATGAGATGCAAATTAGCCTCTATTGTCCCCAGCTAGGGCGCTTTTGCTAAGGCTGCTGGATTCTGAGGGTTTTAACGTGGGAGTGGTCATCATGCCCCACAAACTCTCCGGGTTACCTTTTTCCCAAGTCTGATCCTGCAGTTTCAGCAGTTTCTGGCTAAGAGCCAGCCCCAGCCCCTGCCCTCACATCTCTGGGCATGAAGCAGCCAGCACCTTCCTAACCAAGCTCAATGTCAACACATACACACACACACACACACACACACACACACACACACACACACGGCAGCATCTCCTCTATCCTAGTCTCACTGGGCTTCTGAATATTCACATTTACTTTTAAGGGATGTGGTAAGGAGGTGTAGTAATGGTCTCTTCCCTCCTGTGTCCCTCCTTCCATCAGGTCAAAGGTCTTCAATCCTCAAACCCCAACAGCAGTCATCACCCAGGTAAGGAAAGGACAGCAGATCCTGAGGGCGAGGATAGAAGCTGGCATGGCCTGGGAGCAGGGAGTGAGTCTGGATGTTCTTCCCACTTGCCACAGATCAAAGTTGTTTCCTGGGTGAAGATACTCGTTGCCCAGGGCAACTTGGGGGGGGGGGCGGTGGCAGGAGGAGAAGGATAGGAGACAATCTGTGTCCCTACCTCTTCCCCTGGGAGTCCCAGCAGCCAGAAACGTGGTGGAAGTGAGGGGGAGGGAGACTTGGCTTTTTAGCGCCAGAGGGTCGTTAGCTAGCTGACTGCTCTGCCTCTGGGGAGGGGGGTCATCGTTAGGTATTACCTCCCCTTCCCCTCCTCTAGCTCTCTTGAGACCCCATCTGACGTCAATCTCCCCATCAGTGACGCTGGAGTGGGGGTGGGTACACCTGGGTCCTGGCTCCAAGAGTGGAATTGTTGGGGAGATGGAATGGGCTGGGCTTGGAAGCCCAGGGTCTCTTCTCTAGGGGGCATGGCAGAGTGGGCAACCGAGGACTGGTAAAAGGTAGCTGTCTGTTCACTAAAAGAAAGGATTCTCATCCTTTCTGACCTGATTTCTGGGACCTGCTCAGACCCTTCAATTTCAGGGCAAGGCAGTACACCTCCCACTGTGGGTCCCAGCCAGAGGGGGGAGGCTGATGGGTGGGAAGGAGGGTTGTCTCACCATCCCTCCCACCCTGCCCTTCTTTTCCTGGACTATGATTGCCTGCCTGTCATTGAATTATTTATATTTCCATTTCGAGGTAGCCCGAAGAGGGAAGAAGAGAAAGAGGGACATATGCAGCCATTACTCCTCACCAGTATAGCCCCTTCTATCCCTGGCTCCTCATAGGGGGTAGGCCTGCACTTCCCCCTCCCCCCATTAAGTAGAAGCACTGGTTCTTAGGAGCCGGGGAGGGAGCAGGGGGATAGAGAGGCTGGGAAGGGGCACAGTGGTCGGGCAGACAGCTGCAGCCAGAGCTAAATTTAGCCTCAGATCTGGCTTTGATGCAGATTCATTTTTGGCGAAGACAGCAGCAACTCCCCTCCCCCCTCCTTTCTCTCCCCCCAGCTTCTCCCTAGCAATGGGGAGGGCCCCTGAAGCATGAGTTTAGACCAGGACAATGACCCTTAGGCTGCCTTCCCCAACTGTGTTCTTCCTCAACCCTAAAGAGGACAGTGGCTATCTCACAGCTGCCTCTGCCTGGGCTCAGTGCCTGTGGTGCTTCCACGGTGCCCTGGGGGTCTGAAATGTAGGGGGAGTCAGACATGGTGCCCTCTGCCTCCTCCCAGTGCCAAGGAGTCACTATTTATAATTTAAAGGCTTCGTGTCTAATTATAGCTGAGAAGGGGTTAGCAAGAGGGGGGCCAGGAGGTGTCACCTATTGAATGTCCCAGGCCCAGTCTGGAAAGGGGAGGATAGGCTGAGTGAGAAGGCTGGGAGGGGAAGCAGGTGTGTCCTGTCCTTACCTGGGGTCATGCAGGCAGGCCTCACACCAGCCAGTCTGGGCCAGTTGGAAAGGGTAGGGCCTTGAGTGACAGTGACAGTTGGTTGGACTACGGCAGTGCCAGAGAGAAGGTTCTTTTCCCCATGCCCTAGGGTCTTCTGGGGATACACCAGGGGAGGAGCCTGCCTGCTTCAAGGGTGGAGATAATTTGGCCCCTCCCCCCACTTCTCTGTGTCCTCTTTCAGGGCCAGCATATGGGTGAGGGGGCACCCCCTGGGGCCTGAGCTGCCCCGCACAGGATGCTCCGTGCCCCCTACTTCATGCCCTTGCTGCTACTGCTGCTGCTGCTGCTGCTCTCACTTCCCCACACCCAGGCCACCTTTCCCCGGGATCCCCTCCCTTTGCTGATCTCTGACCTGCAAGGTGAGTGCCCAGTACCAGACTCTTGAGGTGTGAACTTAGAAATTAAGACATTGAGGCCCGGCCGGCATAGCTCAGTGGTTGAGTGTTGACCTGTGAACCTGGAGATCACAGTTTGATTCCCAGTCAAGCCATATGCCCAGGTTGCAGACTAGATCCCCAGTGTGGGGCGTGCAGAAGGTAGCCACTCAATGATTCTCTCTCATCATTGATGTTTCTATTTCTCTCTCCCTTTCTCTCTGAACTCAATAAAAAATAAAAATTAAAAAAAATAAAACACTTGAGACCTATGTGAGGGAGGCAAGGTGCAGGAAGGCTCCCAGCCTCAATGAAAGCTCAGAGCCTGACCAGCAAAGGGGAGCAGACAGATCAAGAGAGCTGGCACCTCCCTTCAGTCACTTCTCATCCCTGGGCCAACTTTCTTAACTTTGAGGCAGCCTCGTATGGTAGTTAAGAACACGACTCTCAGCCAGGCCAAGGTTGCTCACTAGCTATGTGACTTTGGTCTAGTACTTTACCCTCTCTTTGCCTCAGACTCCTCATCTGCATGTGCAGATAATAGTATTCCACCTCATAGAGTTATTTAGGGATTAAATTAGGTAATACATGTAAAGGGCAAGGGCTGTCTGGCACAAAGTGAATGCTTTCTATGTGTTTACCATTATCATTAGCTATAAAAGGAAGGGTGGGGACTAGGTCAGTGGTTCCCAGCACCTTTCATGCCCCTCTCCACCACTTGTACCAACACTATTACTAAGCTCATGCCCTACAGTGAGGGAAACCATAAACCCACTTTTTCTGAGAATTTTATTTATTTTCAGGTTCCTGTTAATATGTAGGATTTAGAGTAATTTTTTAAAAAATATATTTTATTGATTTTATACAGAGAGGAAGGGAGAGAGATAGAGAGTTAGAAACATCGATGAGAGAGAGTCATCGATCAGCTGCCTCTTGCACACCTCCTACTGGGGATATGCCCGCAACCAAGGTACATGCCCTTGACCGGAATCGAACCCGGGACCCTTCAGTCCCCAAGCCGACGCTCTATCCATTGAGCCAAACCGGTCCCAGCTGGATTTAGAGTAATTTTAAGGATGAAGGAACTGCACTCGGATTATTGGGAGTAACTATTAAGGATAGATAAGATAGCAACCACTTATCTGTGCCAGATGAGATTCTCAGCACTGTGCAATGTTCAACCATCTACCCCTGCATTCTAGACTCCCTTTCAGTACTGATGACTGGTTTCCATGCTCAGGCCAGGTGGGTGCTGGTTGGTCAGCTAAGGTAGAAACCTTGGAGGGCTGAGGTGTCCTGTGAATGGCCTTGAGAGGAGGGTGCAAAGAGAGGGCTGGGAGAAATGAGGTGAGTAAAAGCTCCAGAATGGACAGTGTACATTGTGGGCACAAAAGAGAATCACTAGCCCTAAGGCAGCACCAAGAAGGGATTGGGCTCCGCTCTGGAGTCAGACAGCTGAATCCAGGTACCTGCTGCTTCCAAGCTAAATGAGCTATGCAAATTCTGTAATGGCTTTAAGCCTCAGGCTGCTAATCTGTAAAATGGGACCACCACTAGTACCGACCTCATAGGGTTGTTGTATTGTGACAATGTAGTTGTAGCACAGAGCTTGGCAGAGGTTAAGTGCTCAGTTAGCTGGTATTATTTTTCTTAATAGGTTACTTAATTAATACCTCACAACTCATCTCACATATCCACTGTGCCCATGGCTGTGTTTCATCTGATTGGAGAGGGTGTTGAGGGAGTATGTAGTCTCTTGGCTGGCTCTCAGCACCACCTCTGTGCCTTCCAGGTACTTCCCCATTATCCTGGTTCCGGGGCCTGGAGGAGGATGCTGTGGTTGCAGAACTTGGGCTGGACTTCCAGAAATTCCTGACCTTGAACCGGACCTTGCTAGTGGCTGCCCGGTAAACTAGCAGTGGCACGGTTGTGGGGCTGACACGCAATCTCCAGGGACATGGACATGCTGGGACCCAAAACACAAATGCCAAGGCATGGAGGAAGGGGAGGGTAGAGAGCAGAGGTCCGCACTGCTTGTCCCTGAGCAGTGGACAAGGGTAGGACTAAGGAGCTCAGGTGGGTGCCTTGACCTGTCTCTGATCCCTCTTTGCCTGTCTCCTCAGGGATCATGTTTTCTCCTTCGATCTACAAGCTCAAGAAGAAGGGGAGGGACTGGTGCCCAACAAGGTGAGGGGCTGGTTGGGAGGAGATGCACTCAGAGATGAGGCTGGGGAAGGTCTAATAGGAGTCAAGGGAGTGGGAAAAAGAATCCAAAAGGTGGGGTCCAGGTTGCCCCATGATTTTCCCTCTCCCACTTCTCCCTTCAGTATCTAACATGGAGGAGCCAAGACATGGAGAACTGCGCTGTGCGGGGGAAGCTGACGGTGAGGAGTGGAAGGAGAATGTTGGGGGGAGGAGATTACCCTGCCTCCAGCCTCTGTCCAAGCAGTCTTGTCCTGTGCCCAATTTCCTACCCACTCCTCTCATCTCAGGACCCAGAGGAAAATGCAGGAAAGAGAATGAATGGTTTTTAGCTTCTCTCACATGCTTCACAAAAAAGAAAAGTGAGGCTCCGATAACGGACTTGCTCAAGGCCACAGGGCTGGTGAACAGCTTAGCTACAACTTTACCCCACATTGTTCTGACTGTTCAAGGGGCGTGGACTTACTTCCTGTCACACACACACACACACACACACACACACACACACACACACACACACCCCGTCCTAGTCCCAGCGACCCTGTCACCGACATAGAGTTTTGTGTTCTCTAGGACGAGTGCTACAACTACATTCGTGTTCTCGTTCCCTGGGACTCACAGACACTCCTTGCTTGTGGAACGAACTCATTCAGCCCCGTGTGCCGCAGCTATGGGGTACAAAGGCGAGAGTGCCGGGGTCAGGATGGGTAGGGGAGGAAAACTCAAGTGGACAGTTTGTTGCGGACAGACCAGTGGGGGTGGGGGAATGGGAGTGCTCACGGTTCAGGGGTCCAGTCCAGAAGGGGTCAGGGAAGAAAGCAAGGGGACATGAGGAAGTAGGCTATGCAGCCTGACTCTAAGACCCCAAGGGTTCCAAGAACCTGTTCCCTCTGTTTCCAGATAACTTCACTGCAGCAGGAGGGTGAAGAGCTGAGTGGGCAGGCTCGATGCCCCTTTGATGCCACACAGTCCAACGTAGCTGTCTTTGCAGGTGAGCACCTGGGCATGTGAGAAGCAGGCATGTGGCTGAAGCCCTTCTCCCAATTTGGTCTTTCCCTCATGCTCCTGAATGGAGGGCTGAGCTAGAGGCCAGAGTCAGACTGAGGGAGGGGTGTGGGAGGCCCAAGAAGAGCCAGAAAGCAGATCCCCTGACTCCACACTCCCCCTCACCCCCCAATCCCTCCAGAGGGCAGCCTGTATTCGGCCACAGCTGCGGATTTCCAGGCCAGTGATGCTGTAGTTTACAGAAGCCTTGGCCCTCAGCCCCCACTCCGCTCAGCCAAGTACGACTCCAAGTGGCTCCGAGGTCAGGGCGGGCCTGGGGCGGGAGGCTGCTCTTGGGGAGGAGGTGCCTGGGGAGGACTGGCAGGGAGCAGGCAGTGTCCATGTGTGCAGAGGGGAGAGGCTGTGTGGGGCCAGGAGTTTCTGAGCAGGGACCGATACTCTTCCACACCCTTTCCTGTCACCCCCCTCAGAGCCACACTTTGTCTATGCCTTGGAGCATGGAGACCATGTCTACTTCTTCTTCCGAGAGGTCTCTGTGGAGGACACCCGGCTGGGAAGGGTAAGGAGGTGGTGGGCACCTGGGGTGGGTAGCTGAGGGTTCTGCTGGATCCTGCGAAGGCAGTCCAAGTCAGGGGACAGCTCTTGACCCTGATGTCCATAATGCAATCCCCTAGACCAGTGGTTCTCAACCTTCCTAGTGCCTCGACCCTTTCATACAGTTCCCCATGTTGTGGTGACCCCCAACCATAAAATTATTTTCGTTGCTACTTCATAACTGTAATGTTGCTGCTGTTATGAATTGTAACGTAAATACCTGTGTTTTCCGATGGTCTTGGGCGACCTCTGTGAAAGGGTCATTCGACCCCCAAAGGGGTCGCGACCCACAGGTTGAGAACCGCTGCCCTCGGCTCTGGGCCCCCTAGTTGGAGTAACCCTAGCCCTCTGCCCCCGTATCCTGCTGTGTCCCTCATCCTTAACCAGAATGACCTCGTACAGCATACCCTTCCTTTGCTCCGTCCCTAACATTTGTGTCCTGGTGCTCTAACTGCATTCCTCTCACCTCGCTGGCCCTGAGGTTGTCTCTCACTGTTCTCCCCTTGTCCCCGACTTTCCCCTTCAGGTACAGTTCTCCCGTGTGGCCCGTGTGTGTAAGCGTGACATGGGCGGCTCACCTCGGGCCTTGGACCGCCACTGGACATCCTTCCTAAAGCTTCGCCTCAACTGCTCTGTCCCTGGGGATGCTGCCTTCTATTTTGACGTCTTACAGGCCTTGACGGGGCCTGTGAACTTGTATGGCCGCCCTGCTCTCTTTGGGGTCTTCAGCACCCAGACCAATAGGTTGGTATTAGACTAACCAATGTGGCCCCGTCTGTCCCCTGCCCCACCAGCATCCAAGCTCCTCTTTCAAAGTTTACAGATGGGGATGTTCCATTCGAAGCCAGTTTTGCCCATCTTTCTCCTAGCATGGCATCCAGGGCCACCCCACCCTCTCAGGCGCTGCCCCCTGATATGGCGCATGAAGGGTAGCTGCCTTGTCTTACCTGGGGGGATCCGCGCTGTCTCTTCTAACATCTCGCCCTCGTCCTTTTCTGGCTTCCTCAGCATCCCTGGCTCTGCAGTCTGTGCCTTCTACCTGGATGATATTGAACGTGGGTTTGAGGGCAAGTTCAAGGAGCAGAGGAGTTCGGATGGGGCCTGGACCCCTGTGTCTGAGGACAGGGTCCCCTCCCCCAGGTACTCAGGATGGTGGTGGGCTTTGTGGGTCAGAGTCAAGCAGTGTCTGCTCTCAAAATGGAGTTGTAAGGAAAAGGGAAAAGGTGTCCAGTGCTTGGGGAGGAGGCTGCGGTGTGCTGGCAGTGGGACTGGGAAGGGAAGCAGTAGTGTGAGTGTGTGGAGGGGAAGCAAGGGCTACCCATCCTGTTCAGGAGCAGTGTGTGTGGGGAGCACAGAGCCTAAGTCCCAGCTCCCTGCCCTAAGGCTGTCCCTTTCCATGTGCCCACCAGGCCAGGATCCTGTGCAGGAGTGGGTGTAGCTGCCTTATTCCCCTCTTCTCGAGATCTCCCTGATGATGTCCTGACTTTCATCAAGGCTCACCCACTGCTGGACCCCACTGTGCCACCTGCCACCCACCAGCCTCTCCTTACCCTCACCAGCAGGTATGGGGCTAAAAAAACACTGACCACTGCCCTCCCTTCTCAGTCACTCTCCTTCTCTGACCCCACAAGGTAAATCACAGTGGTAGGAGGAAGTACCCATGAAAGTGGAAGGGAAGGGAAACCCTGGGTTGGGGAAGGACCCATGAGTGGGTACCAGGACACATGGGCTGTCCTTGAAGCACCAAGCTTCCACTAGCCGGGTTGCCCTGACCGAAGGCTTATTCCTCCAGGGCCCTACTGACCCAGGTGGCTGTGGATGGCACGGCTGGTCCCTATAGTAACACCACAGTCCTGTTCCTTGGCTCCAATGATGGAACAGTGCTGAAGGTGCTGCCCCCAGGGGGACCATCTGGAGGACGGGAGCCCATCCTGTTGGAAGAGATCAATGCCTACAGCCCCTCCCGGTGAGGACATAGGCCTTTGTCTGGCGGGCTGCCTGCAGAACATGAATGGGATGTGAGATGATAGATGGGGATGTGGGAATGGGGTAGGAGCTCCAACATTGGCTTCTATAGGGCATAGAGAGATGGGCTTGGTGAGAAGCTGGACAGTGTGGTGGGGCAGGGGGCACTCGGGAACATCAGCTCCGTGAGCCATACTTAGTTGCTTGTGCCTCTCACCACCTTCAGGGGGAAAAGAACCTCACCAGGCCTTCCCCTTCTTTGATTCCTCTGGCTTCACCCTAGGTGCAGTGGGAAGCGGGCGGCCCAAACAGCACGGCAGGTGATAGGACTGGAGCTGGACACTGAAGGTCACCGGCTCTTTGTGGCTTTTTCTGGCTGCATCATCTACCTCCCTCTCAGCCGGTGTGCCCGGCATGGGGCCTGTCGCAGGTGAGAGGGGCCTGAGGCTGGGCCCTGCCTGGGTGGGCTCCCTGGGCCAGCAGGCATTGGAGGAAATATAGGGGATGGCAGGTGGGGAGATGCCTCAAGCATTCTGCGGGGGCACAGTAACTAGAGTCTGGAACAGGCTTTGGGCTGGATAGGATGGGAATATTGGGCTAAAAGCCTTCTGTAGGCCAGGGTGAGCGGAGAAGAGGCAAGTGAATGGAATGTGATTAGAATGGAGAAGGTCCCAGCCTCACATGACTCAGTTTTCCCTAGGAGCTGTTTGGCTTCTCGGGACCCATACTGTGGATGGCATAGCTCCAGAGGCTGTGTGGACATCAGGGGACCTCATGGGTAAGTGAGGGGTTCCCGGATCTCCTACGGAGAAGGTTCCCCATCATAAGACAGGAAGCTGAGGCCCAGGGTGGGGGATGGGTGCAAGATGTATAACTGCACTGAGTCATCTCCATATCCTCCTAGGACTGATGTGGATCCAGCTGGGAACCAGGAATCCATGGAGCATGATGACTGCCAAGGTAAACAGAAGGGGAGGCTGCAGCTCCAGCCATGATTGCACATGGCTCTGAGGGCCACAGTTACTGTGCAGGCATGGCTTTTGTCTTTCTCCCCTTCTGTGGCACAGTCATCCCTATTCATGAAGCTTCTCCCTGCTCCCATCTCTGCCCCCTGTCCCTTCACAGACGGAGCTACCGGGAGTCAGTCTGGCACAGGGAACTCTGCTTATGGTGAGTCTTGTCCCAACTTCACTTCCCTCACTCATCCCACACTCACTCACGTCTGTGCCCATGGCAGCAGCAGACCAGCACCCTGGACACCCCGAGTCATTGGACAGAGTTAGCATCTTCCAAACCCCCAGCAAATAGCTTGGTGGTGCTTAATAGTTTTGAACACACAAATGAATGTCCTGCATGGTGAGCCCTTCCCCTCAGCCAAAGGAAAACAGAGACTGGGGTTCTGGGCCTTTGGGTTCCAACGAGGGGAGGGGGGATGAGAGGGGGGGAGCACTGCTCAATGGGTGTCAGAGGTGGAGAGCAGGAGCCTCACCGGCTCTGACCTGGTCTCTGTCACCAGTGCTTCTGGGTCCTGGCCCTTCCCCTGAGACCCCCAGCCCCCCCAGTGAAGCCCACCCCCGGCCCCAGTCTTCCACTCTTGGAGCTCACACTCAGGGTAAGGGGGCCGGCTGGGAGGGACAGGAGTGACGTGTGGGCTGCTGGTTCTTGAAGAATTCTAAGCCCTTTACCGGCCTGTGTTTGGTGCTCACTAATGCCTGTTTGGATTCTCCCCTCCCCAAAGGTGGGCATCCCAGCCCGCCTCCTTCTGCTGGGGCAAGTTTGGCAGTTGCTCTTGTCTTGGCTTCTGGGGCCAGAGCTGGGAATGGGGACTCCCCAGACCCAAGTTCTAGCTTGTGTTTGAGGGATGGTGTGCGTGGGGAAGGGTCAGAAAAAGCGTTGGAGTGAAGCTGAACAGCAGCAGGAATGATGAAACGTTGCAACTTGCCATCCAGCTCTCCTGCTTTCGCTAAGCCTCCCTCCTCCCTGTTGATTGGCAGGCGTGCGCAGAGACCTCCCCGCAGCCTCAGCCTCCCGCTCCGTCCCCATCCCGCTGCTCCTGGCCTGTGTGGCCGCGGCCTTCGCCCTGGGCGCCTTAGTCTCCGGCCTTCTGGTCTCCTGCGCTTGTCGCCGCGCCCACCACCGACACCGGAGCAAGGACATGGAGACCCCGGGGCTCCCGCGCCCCCTCTCCCTCCGCAGCTTAGCCCGGTTGCATGGGCCAGGCCCAGAGCCGCCGCCGCCGCCCTCCAAGGACGGAGAGCCCGGGCTGGCGTCCCAGCTCTACACCACGTTCCTGCCTCCTCCCGAGGCCGGCTCCCCCCCGGACCTGGCCTGCCTGCCCACCCCGGAGTCCACGCCCGAGCTGCCCGTCAAGCACCTCCGCGGCGCCGGGGGCCCCTGGGAGTGGAACCGGAACGGGAACAACGCCGCTACCGAGGCCCCGGGCCCCGCGCGGGGGAGCGCGGCCGGCGGCGGCGGTGGCTCCGCGCCCCGCGTGCTGGTGAGGCCGCCGCCGCGCGGCTGCCCGGGGCAGGCGGTGGAGGTGACCACCCTGGAGGAACTGCTGCGCTACCTGCACGCCCCGCAGCCGGCCCGCAGGGGCGCGGAGCCGCCCGGCCCCTCGGCCCCGCGGGCGCTGCCCCTCGAGCCCGCCCGGGCCCCCTCCCCCGCCCCCGCCCTCGCCCTGCTGGCCGGCGCCGGCCTTCTGGCCCGGGAGTGCGCCCCCCCGCTGCGGCTGGACGTGCCCCCCGACGGGCAGTGCCCGGGGCCCCCCGGCCGGCCGGTCCCCGCCCCCCGCCTGGGGGTGGGCGGCAGCCGGAGGTTGCCCTTCGCCCCCCGGGCGCCCCCCACCCTGCTCACGCGTGTCCCCTCGGGCGGCCCTTCCCGGTACTCCGGGCGGCACCTGTACCCGGGCCGCGCCGAGGGCTACCGGGGCCGCACCCTGAAGCGAGTGGACATGGCGAAGCCCCGGCCGCCCCCGAAGCTGCCCCTGGCCGCGCCCCCCGCCCCGCTGGCCGTCCCCGGGGGCGGCCATTTCAACTTGTAAAGGAAGCCGGTCTCCAAGGACAGGGGATCCTCTCCCTCCGGCCCCGCGCCACCCGCCTCGGGCTTATTTATTGACTGTCTTCCCCTCGGTCTCCTCAGGAGTGGGGGCCGGAAGCTTGCCCCTCAGTGAGCCAGCCTTTGGAGGGGCCGGGCACCCCACTCCCCCCTCAGCCAAGCTGCCTTAACTCGCCCCCTGGGCTTCCTCCCCGGACTGGGCCCCGGGCGGGCCGCAGGCGGACGGACGGACGGACGGTCGGGGCTGGGGCCACGCTCGTTGTGTACTGACCCTCGGACCTCCTGGGAGGTGCCTCCTACCGTGTAGGAGCCCTCGCTCCCCAATACAGCCGTGTCCCCCCAATACAGCCGTGTCCCCGAGCCGCCGCCTCATTCACGCGCTGGGCGGGGGCGGGGGCGGGGCGGGCGGGGATCGGTCGGCTCCCTCGCGCCTTCGCCCTGAAACTTATGCCTCCCGAGTAATTGCATGGCTGCGGTCCCACCGGGGTTAATCAGGAGGCTTCCTCAAGATTAGCCAGCACCTCCCTCACCAAGCTCAGTGTCTCTCTCTCACACACACACACACACACACACACACACACACACGCGGTGTGGAGATACATCCGGGTCCAGGAGACCCAAGGCCAAGGGTAGGTGGGCTTGGGGAGGGCAGGAGGAGCCCGCTTCTGGGCTGAGGTAAGAAGGCCTTTTCCGTAGCCTGTCCTGAGGGGCGGGGGAGGTTATTTTTGGAGCAAGAAAATAAGTGATTTAACTTTCACCTCAGGAAATCTTGTCCTAAAGAGAATTCCAAGGCTCTAGGTTGCAAGAGGGGGACGGACGCTGCAAAAAAAACAGCAAAGGACTCGATCCTGTTGGAGTCCCGGGTCAGCCCCGGCTGGTCCCTGAGGGCTGCCCAGCGCGGGGGTCGTCGTGCGCACGCGCGGCGTCTCGCGACGCCTGAGGCCGCCGCGCTCGATCGTCCCAGTGTTCCTCCGGCTGGGGCAGGCTGTAGATACCTGTCAGTTACCGCCGGGACCAATGGGAGGGCGAACAGGACCGCATGCCCCGCCCACTACCTCGCGCTGAGGCCACGGAAGGCTTCGCGCCAGCTGTGGCTACTTTTGCGGATTTACGGGTCGTGTTTTTCCGCCCGCGCGTGGCCGGAGTATCCGGCCGGTTGGAGCCGGAGGCCGCCGCTAGCGCCGCCTGGAGTCCGGGTCAAGCCCTGCAGCTAAGGACACCTTCAGGCATTTATGCCTTGTGCGGGAAACCGCTAAGAACCACGTGAAGTACCCTGGGATTGTTCTATTTTGACTCTGCCCTAAGCGGTTTCCATGTTTAAAAAAAAAAAAAAAAGGATTGCTTGGAGGCTCAAGTACGATAAGGTCTTAAACCCTTCTAAAGCAGAAAGCATGGTAGCTGAGACGTGGTTTCCTCCAAACTCAGGCATAGGCTTGTTCCTCATTTGTGATCTTCTACTGAGTCATGTTTCCCCTTGAGTCCTTACAACCTTCATTTACAGACTTTCCCCTCAAGGTTCTGAAATGCCTTTGAACACTGCTCACACCTCAGGTCCTTGGGCCACATTCGGTTGTCCTCCAGAGTGCACACTGCCTGGAGCTCGTTGCACCTGGTTGGAGAGGGCCTTAGGTCTGTCTGCCCTTCACTAGATGCCTTTCTTAAACCGAGATACTTTGAAATCATTGCTAGATGGTGGAGGAGACCAAGGACCAAGGATGGGGTGGAGAATCTTTCAGTCACCTGATTTCATTATCCTCTTCCAACCAAGGTGTTAGCCCAGCGGAAGTGGCTCAGTGGGTGAGCCTGGACCTAAAACCAGGAGGTCACTGGTCAGGGCGGCTGCTGCTCCACTGGGGGCTCAGGAGGCAGCCAATCAATGATTCTCATCATTGATGCTTCTACCTCCCTCTTCCTCTCCATTCCTGAGATAAATAAATAAATAAATAAATAAATAAATAAACACACACACACACACACACACACACATATATATATATATATATATATATATACATACCCAAGGTGTTAAAGCCAGATCAAAGAAAAAAAATGTAAGGCTGCATGCATGCCTTTGAGGGACAAGCCTCACAAATACTTTGATGCCCCCAGGAAAAGGGGTAAATGATCCTTTATTTAAATATAGACCCAAAAGAAAAGTACAATAGAAATTTAACCTGTGCCTGCAGGCAGCAGCACTTTATAGGTTAAAGTCCTGGCTTCAGTTTAGTTGTGAAGGGCGTTCACTTATTATCTATAAAGAATGGAGAATTATCTGAGGGTGCCTGAAGTGGACTTGCAGAACCTTCTCAAAGCTACTGGAAGCAACTATGTTGCAGTGAGAACAACAGTCTTTGGACTCCGCCAGTTAATATTTTTGTGTGTGACCTTGGTCGTACAACTGCCATGTCAAAGTCTCAATTTCTTTTGTAAAGTATGGAAAGAACATATAACAATGGGTTTGTAAAGCAGCATATAAACATATGGTGGGCTTAAATTAAGTGCTTTGTGGGAAATGGGTATTTGCCCCAAATAGACTACTACCAAGTATGCAATTCATTAATACTCATGATATTAATATACTTCATCCTGACAGACAGTAGTAAGTAATAAAAGGGATGAGCCAAAACCGGTTTGGCTCAGTGGATAGAGCGTCAGTCTGCGGACTGAAGGGTCCCGGGTTCGATTCTGATCAAGGGCATGTACATTGGTTGCAGGCATATCCCCAATAGTGGGTGTGCAGGAGGCAGCTGGTTGATGCTTCTCTCTCATTGAAGTTTCTAGCTATCTATCCCTCTCCCTTCCTTTCTGTGAAAAATCAATAAAAAAATATAATTTTTAAAAAAATTAATTAAAGGGATGAATTCAAAGAAAGTATTATCACTGACAGTAGAGGGATAAACATGACCCCAATTAAGGAACTGGCTGACAGCCTTTTTTTTAAATTAGGATATTAACTCAAACTTTGCCTTTAGAAAAACTAGAATGTGCCAAAAGGAGGATAAAGTTGTCATCCTGAGGGATTACTAAGCTGATTTCTCAGAGGTACCCTGGGAGGTTATGGAGAAACCAGGGCCCCAGTAGGCAGAGTTCATCAGCTTGTGGAAGGCTTTGGGGACCTGAACCGCAGAAGGTTCCACGGTCACAAAGCTTGAAAAGCTGTTAAGCATCTTGGATTCTTTGGGAGCTAAGTCACAGGGGTCAAGCTTTATTGTCTCTCAGATTTATGTCTCCTTGGGGCCACTATCCCACACTTGGGAACCACACAGGTATGAGTCACTCTCTGCTACTTAATTCAGCAGCTGACCCTTTAGTATTGTTGACTCATAAAAATGTAAGGTTACATGTATGAGAGAACAGTTCAAGTACATGGATGAAAAATATGGAGCCTATGAATCAAAAGATCACCTATGTTTACCAGGTATATTAGGGTACAAACAGGAAATAGGTGGTATTCTCTAAATAATGAAGGGCTGTTTTTAATTTACTGGAGAGAGAGAGAAAGAGAAACATTGATGTGAGAAAGACTTATGGGATGCCTCATGTATGCACCCTATCCGGCAAACAGCTTATGTGCCCTGATGGGGAAGTGAACTCTCTACCTTCTGGTGTATCGGATGACACTCCAACCAATTGAGCCACACCACACCAGCCAGGGCATGAAGGGCTATTTTTTAAAAATGTGGGCAAGGGATGGATGGGTCAGTAACTGGAGGCTAGTAACAGCCTTAGGCCTGAAAAGACAAAGAAGGATAGTGGTTACTAGGACCTGGAAGGAGAGATTGCCTTGAGAAAAGCAGTGACCTTTAATCAAAGGCCCAGGTGATGCCTGGGGAGTAGTGTCTTTCCCTCCCAGCCTTCTGCCAGAGTTCTCTATTGGCTGAATCCATCATGAAGCCCAAGTGCAGGGAGTCCATTAATGAAATTCATGCAGGTTAGTCTCCAAGGATAGAGAATAAAATACAGGAGAGAGGAGAGTAATCTGGAAGGCATGAGAAGATACCCAGCACACCTAGAGATGAAGACCTCATTCATTCCCCAAAGAAAGGTTATCTTTGATTGCCCTCGCTCAAGTACTCCTGGCCAGCAACTTTATGCAGATGGCTCCTGAATTAGTTTTGGAACAAAATTTACTTTGGGGAGTTTGAAAGAGAGGCAGCTTGGAGAATTTACATTTCCTCAGGCTCTACACTGCAAGTGGAGATGAATTAAGCTGCCCAAAGTCAAGTAAGACAGTACTCTGATTAAAGGACAAATGACAGAGGGAAAAACACTACTGACTGAGACAGCATATGTATCTATATACTGAAGATAATACATAACTCGCAAAATAGATATGTTTGTGTGTATGCAAAGTGCCTAACTCATTGTCAGACATGTAGCAAAAGCTTAAAGCATGGAAGTTGTTATTTCTATTGGCCTCTTTTTATATATATATAAAATTCCAACCTGGTGGAGGGGAGCAATGGGGGGGGGGGAATGAGGAACATTTGTAATAATATGAATAAAGATTTATTTTAAAAAATAAAATAAAATAAAATAAAATTCCAGAGAGGAAGGGAGAGAGAGAGATAGAAACATCTATGATGAGAATCACTGATTGGCTGCTTCCTGAAGGCCCCCTATGGGATTGAGACCAGCAACCCAAGCAGTAATGAACCATAACCTCCTGGTTCAACATTCAAACACTGAGCCATGCTGGTCGGGCTATCGGCCTCTCTTTTAAACATCAATTTCCTTTACAATAAGACTTTCTTAAACTTCAGGACTAGTAGTTATAGTCTCTACTAACTTATTCTGGAAGACATCTTGCACAAATCTTACATAGGGATAGTTATCGCTAACAATCACATTTCAACTTCTCTTGTGTTGAAAGAACTCTAGGTTCCTATCCAATTCCCTTTTAACTCTCCGTATCCCTGATGATTTATCTCACTAGGATTTTAATTCAACAAGTCTCTTAGTTTTTGTTTCTCAAGGCTCAAGTCC